CCCCAAACCCCCAAAACCCCAAAACCCCAAAACCCCTACTTAAGTTTCAAACTGAACTCCATAAATAATAAATCTGATACATATCTATATGAGTAAAGGAAATCTCCAATTGAAAAGACTCGTACTGAGGAAAGCAAGCTGAAGCTCCTCAGTCGACTCTAAGCGTAAGTGCTCACTACTTTTGAGATCTGATGTCTTATATTTATGCCTGGAGGTGTGCTTACTGTTAGGCACTAATTTAGAGAAATACTAAAGATATCCTTGCTAAACCTTTTACTCAGAGTGACGCTTCTTACCGATGGAAATTTAAAATTCGGTCTACAAATGTGTCAATACATAGCATTCGCCCACTTTCCAATGACAGTAGTATTTTTGTTAAGCCCATTAAAACCTGTTCTAGGAGGATTTTCATTCTCGCAATTGCCAGGGAAAGATCAGAGAAATAGCGATTTGTGGTCTCCACTTGCAAACTCCTGTAAGCCTCAGAAGCAGGTGGAGTTCAAATTCGATGCCAATTTCACAGAATTTTTAAAACACAACCATAAAAGTTGCCTTCAAGGGCTCAATCCAAGAGTGGTGACTTATGAAGGGCTCTCTGAGATGTTCGAGTCTCGGACCAGACAAACAGGTAAGAATGGGTTAATAATCCTGTTAACGGGGCTCAAATAGAGTTTTAGTGTATTTTTTATTTTAATGGAGGCACTAGGTAGAGAACTTTAGACAGGCTACACTGAATTAGTATCAATAACTTTTCTGGGCAAATCTGAGGGTTTTGATATACCTCTTGAGAGATTTTAGCAACAGATCTTAATCTCTCCTTCTTCATTAAATAGTCAAAGCTAAGCACATCTTAGAGAGCAAAAGTGCTGTTCATGAGTTTCAAAAGATATTCTCTCCATGTATGAATGTATCCAAATAGTTATCCTCTGAAAAGTGTTGTGAAAACTAGGTAAAAACTCAAATATTTATTAACAAGGATACATATTTCCCAATTTTAGCTGCTATAGTCCTTCTTAAATAGTGCTATTCCTTCAACCACGCTAAGTTTGTCTACTATGAGCAAGCCTGAATGCTCATTGGTAATTCTTCAATGAAACTGGCCTCTGGAGATATCTAATTTAGACGCCTGTATATCCAGAGTTCCATCAGTAAAGAAAAGACATAAAAATTTTATTTGAAAATTCATATCGGTAATCCATTGGATTTCTTGCCTTTTCAAAGTACTTGTGACTCTCTAGCCACGGCTTGGACTTGGCTAGGGAAGGCATTTAGAGTACTCATATTAGTCAGCTAATTGCAAGGAATTGTACTACCCTCGAGCTTTGGTGCTATATTATACCTGAGAAGGATCAGAAACTCATCAGTTTAGAGCCGTATTATACTTCCTACACATTCTGTGTTTTCAGGGAGGTAAATTAGGGTTTAAAGAGGCTTGATAAGGTGATAATTGCCAATCACCCATTTCTCCACCAAAATCAGTATAGAATAGTATTAATCCCATGAGATTTTTGACTGGAAATATGCATTTATTCACTCATTATTCCTGATAGATTTCTAAAGTATCGCAACACATCCGAACTATTTTTATAGTGAAGGTCCGAGCGAGGTTGAACAAGAGCTACTCAAGAGAGCGCCTTAGAGAGTCACGGAAGGTATACTGATCTTAATCTAACTCTTTTAGCCAATTGAACAGAAGCAGATGGTCAAGATCGAGGAGAACTTTGAACTGCCGCCTGTCCAAGGTACGTGTACATCCCATGTCTAAGCCTTCCATCTCAAATAAGTCTCTAATTCTTTTTACAGGGTTGTACAAGTATGAACGGAGAGGAAAAGCCAGGCACAAGCCTTCTGAGTCACAGAATAAGAAGATCAAATTGAAGATAAAGTCCAGACTAAGGATGCTCAAACAGGATTTCAGCAGCAAAAATTTATTTAAATTTCCCAGAATCTAAAAGGGATTATTCTTAAATTTTGACTTCAGGGGTGGATACGTTAAACCTCGATATGGCCAGTTAAGGGCAAATCCGCACAAAAAGACCTCTTTAGACATTTTAGTACCCTCTGGGCACCCAAGGAGGCAATATTTGGATATATTAAGTTTGTAGGATTTCAATGTCAGGATTAGACCATTTGGAGTCTAGGTGCGATTACAACGTAACTCTATCAGGTTTCAACCAGAGTCACAATTGAAGGGGTTTTGGGGTTTTGGGGTTTTGGGG